AAGGGGGAAGGGGGAAAGGGGAAGCTGTAACTCTGACCTAAAGTCATCATATGTAGGCCCTAACCACCAGTCTCCCTGGTTTCAACCACCACACCATGAGCAGTCAAAAGCCATGCTTTATTGGGCCCATGTGAAATTGTCCACCCACTCCCAGCCAGAACTTCAAGTTTTTTAATCAGTTGCCCATTTATTTCACATTAAACACAAGGTTTCCACTTTCTCTTAAAAACTCGTAAGGTCTGACCACCCCAGGTCCACAACCTCACAGGGCACCTCCACCAGAGGGCAGATCCTTAATCCGGGGGCACGCTCTCTAGGTGCCACGGACTTAGGCAATTCTCCAGTTTTTGTGCCTGGCTCTGGGAGGCATCTGAGTTTGTGACTCCTCATTTAGGATGAGGCACTGTGTAAAAACACTCATTTTGAATGTCGGCAGGGGTTGGGGGTTGGCGGTCTGGCTATAGCCTGCTGCCTTCCACAAAATTTCTAGAGCAGACACAGGGAACCCAAAGACCAATACTGAACTATCATCAGCTATAATACTGCAGCATTTACCTGGCCCCACGTGCCACTCAGCTGATTAGAAGGCCTCCCCTCTGGAGAAGGGAGCTCAGGCAGCTTGCAGGCGCCGTTGATACCTTTTCTATAACTCCAATGGCTTTTAAAAAACAACACAACAGCCCTAGCTAGTTTGGCTCAGTGGATAGAGCATTGGCCTGTGGACTGAAGGGTCCCGGGTTCGATTACAGTCAAAGGCACATCCCGGATTGCGGGCTTGATTCCCAGTAGGGGGCGTGCAGGAGGCAACTGATCAATGATTCTCATCATTGATGTTTCTATCTTTCTCTCTCCCTTCCTCTCTGAAATCAATAAAAATATATACTTAAAAAAAAACACCAACTATTAAACAAACCCCTCACTTCAGAGTTGTTAAGGGGTAACAATGAATGGGTGTAATTTTTAAGTCCCACGCTAAGACTGATAACGATGCAGTGGGCTGAGTTCCCCAAGGACAGGTCCAGGCTTGGGCAAAATCATGGAGTTATTCACCCTCTTTGACCCCCGCCTGGGAATTTAGACCTCAATGTGGAATTCAAGTTGGAGTATTTGCACCAGAAGATATGAGACTGTTCCCAGTTAAAAATGGTTCATCTATCAAGAGAAAAAGCAAGCAGGGCCCTGCAACGGTTGGTCTGTGAGCACAGCTCTCCATTCCATACCAAGCTGTCCTGCTGGAAACACGTTTACACCTAAAGAAGTGAGTGTGTCAACTAGCCGGGGGCTGAAGCTCCCCACCAATAAGCATTACTGAGAGTGGAGTCAGATTTCTAGACCCTGTAAAACGCAAATATTTTACAGGGTCTAGAACAGGGGTGGGCAAACTTTTTGACTCTAGGGCCACAATGGGTTCTTAAACTGGACAGGAGGGCCGGAACAAAAGCATGGATGGAGTGTTTGTGTGAACTAATATAAATTCAAAGTAAACATCATTACATAAAAGGGTACGGTCTTTTTTTTCAATAGTTTTATTCATTTCAAACAGGCCGGATCCGGCCCACGGGCCGTAGTTTGCCCATGGCTGGTCTAGAACGTCTTAATTAATCACACTAATACTTTCACGTCTACACTTCACATAAGCTTCTGATTTTGACAGAACAGGACACAGGATCGCAAGTCTGTTGGAGGGAAAGGATGAAAAAGTCCAGGATCCTAGGCCACCAGGAAGATCAGGGCGAGACAACAATAGTGAGATGAAGAGCACAGACGATTATAAACAGTAATACTTGCTGAGCTAGCTCTGCTAAAAAACACTAAACACATTCCTACCCTGGTACCCATCTTTCCTTCCTGTCACTGAGAAATCAGAGAACAAGCGTTTCCATCTCTGATGATAAATGAGAGGTAAGATCCTGATGAGTTTCTAAAGGCAAGGCTCTGCCTCAGTGAGGGGGCGGGGCAACCTCACGCAGTTGCTTTAATAGCTCCGTGAAATGCAGTACAATGTTCTGCTTCCCTTTCACCTTCCCCATAAACACATGCGCACACACGCACATGATACATTGCCTCAGAAGGGATTAGCATATATTTTTCTAAAAGTAAACTTAAAGGACTAATAATTTAGGCCTTATATTAGCAGGGTGCATGTAGCTGAGTGCAAATCAAATCACCTGAGAGGAGACCTTTCTTTTGCGTTTAAATCACTATGTACCTTGTCCAGGGTGAGGCAAAAGTAGGTGTACAGTTGTCAGGACATGAAACACAGAGTGTATTCTTGTGTTATTATTATTTATTAATTATTGGATTATTGTCCATACCAACAAGTGTAAACATGCTCTTGCCCTACCCTGAATAGGGAACCATGGCAATGGCAGCATCTCCATTTCCTGGTTCAGAAATCAGCTGCCTTATATAAATACTGTAAAAGTATTTCTTTTATTTTATAAAAATATTTCTTTTCTCAGCATTTATAAGGGGGGTGGGGGAGAGAATCAGAGTGCAGGGGACACATCTCACCCCAAGAACAAAGCAGTCAGACACACTTCAGTATGAAATTGTGTCTCTAGTTTCTGCATTCCAATGCCAGTTGTGCCAGAAAACCTAAACAGACTCAGGTATCAAGTTGCAAAGGAAAAGATAATTCTTTTTACAACAGTCGTTAAATGGATGGAGAATAATAGATATCAACAACACAGACTGGCTCACTCTGCTACTAAAAAGTCAGCCCATTTCTCTTTATATAAAAGAAATCTCATTTTAAAAATAGTCAAAAATCTAAGGCGAGGGACACAGAACCCAGTACAGGCTCAACTATTTTACGTCTTTTCATCTTGCCCAGTGCTTCTCTGCCCCAAGTATTCACATTCTGCAAAGAGCTCTTCAGGACTCCCAACATGTGGTGCATACTCTCTCCACCTGCCCAACTTTCCCAGTAAACCTGTGAAGAGGGAGGACGCAGGAGGGAGTGTGAAGAAAGGAGAAGGACCTTACCACTTCTGGGAGCAGCTTAATGGAGAGGTCATGGATGGCTTTGATCACTATACACAAGGATGACAGAAGGAATATCACCCCCAGGATGACACAGGCTCTGCAAAGAAACAAAACATTGAGACACGTAACTGGGAGGACTCCACCTGCCGATTTACACAATGACAGGGACAATGACACAACCCGAGGCATTGGGACCAGCCGTTATTTGCCACATTCCCACTATAACCACCCACAGTCTCAGAATTGATACTGAATCATTTCTAAGAAAATGATTCAGAATTTTATCACCAAAATCAACCCCATGGGGAAGAGACTCCGACATCCTACATCATCTCACAGCTTCCCATGAATGCTGGCATGGAAGAATCTCCAAGGCCATGAGATCCAAACCACCCACCCCCCACACCCTCTTGGCAACCCAGTTCATGCCTCCTCCAGCCAGAGGGTGCAGAGTTCAATAGCAAAGAGTGGAGGCCCTAGCATGAGATATCCCAAGCTCTACCATTTAACATTTGCTTGGTCTTGATCAAGCTACTTAACTTCTTTTAACCTCTATTTTCTCACCTGCCAAATGGGAATATTTTCTACCTGAAGATGAAATCAGATAACGCACAGAGCAGAAAAAAGTAAACCACGAATACTGGATTAAACATAGGAAAACAAAAGCCCACCCTAGATGTCTCTCTCTGGTGATAAGACACCTTTGAATTACAGAGTATTTATGGTGAGATGGAGCAATTCTTGGGGAAGAAATGAGGGTAAAGAAGTTAGGATGAGGTCTGCTAAGACACCCAGCACAGGTGAGACAGGAGGAAGTTAGGGATGAGGCCAAGGGTGGGGTGTGGGAGCAGCAGGGAAGTCTATGGGGCTCGGGACCTAGGAGCTGCCTCTGGCTCCCAGACACAACAACTCACAGGAGAAAGAAAGACAGAATATGGAAGTAAGTATGAGGAAATGATAGTAACAAGGGTCAAAATGCCAAATGAAAATGAAGAGACAGAGGAGAGATAAAAAATGCGAGAATGACCAAGGTTAACCCTAGATCATTCCTGTCCCACCCTGGCAGCCTCCTCAGCCTCCTTCCTTCACCAGTAAATAAAACCATCTCTCATTATCCATCTTGGACTTCCTTCTCTGGACTGAGAAATGGCCCCAAGTTTCCCGCATAACATTGAAGTGGCACCTATTTAGAATTCTAACAAATAGAGTTCTAATAAATATGTCCCCTAAGCCCAGACATCAGAAACAAGCAGGTCAGCATGCTGCCCGGAGTCTACTCGGCAGGCTTCTCATCCACACTCCAGCTGTAGGTTTTATTCTTCCAACAACACAGATAGAAAGAAGGCATCATTGCTGGCCGGGGCGAACCACAAAAGAGCACCGAGATGTAGAAAAGGTAATGAATGGGCTGAGTGGGGGTCTTGGACAGACTGGCCCTATCAACCAAATGGAGATTCGCCATGGGTGCCATATATCCCCAGAATGAGCGGCGAAGGGGCCCGCAGCCGAGAGGGGAGCAGTACAGGGATGAGGTGTGCCTGCCGGAGACCCTTTAGTGATGAGATACTGGGGCAAGACCAGGGATCCCCAGGGGTTGGTGGATCACTGCCCTCCAGGCACTGGCCCCTGAGTCCCACCTGTGCCCCTGGGGAAGACGGCTATGGGCCAGCTGTACCCAACACTCAAGTGACCATTTCTACCTGCAAACAAATGGGACCCTGAGAGGTCCCATTACAGGAAAGGTGCCTATAGTCAGATTAAGCTTCCAAGATAAGGTTTGTGATGTGGGATTTTTCACTCCATTCAGAAAACTCCCAAGTGACTAGCAGAGACTTTGATCCACCCTCTCCGATAAATCCAACCACCAACTCAGTGCTTCTCAACCCTGAGAGCACCCTGCACTCACCAAGGGCTTTTCCTGACAATTGCCCAGAGACCACACCAGCCCGCTGTCCCCCACCCCCTCCCCATTCAATTTTATCAGAATCTCGGGGAGGGAGGGGGTGAGGTTTGTTTAAAAGCTCCCCAGGCAAGTCCCCTGTGCAAAAGGGCTGAGGGTCCCTGCTGGGAGGCAGGTGAAGCCCTGTCCTTAGGGAGCTTCCATGTGGGTGAAAAAGCCACAGCTCTCTGGGCAGAAGGCAGGGAGGCAGCGGCCATGCCTGCTGGTGAGGAAGGACAGGCCCTAATGGCCCCTGGAGACCTGCAGTGTCTCTGTGTGAGGAGCAGCTTTCTCCCCAGGACGGGGGAGGGCAGCCACCACTGGGGTGCTAGACCTTCTACAGTCTGTCACAACACCCCTAAGAAGTGTCCATCACACACCCCTGGGGTGGGGAAGTGGGGAGAGAGGAACAAAGGTCTGAGCTTCCTGCCGACAGGGCCCAGCGATGGATGCCACAGGAATCTATCCCTCCGGGTCACTCAGGCAGCTCCATAACATGCAAAGCGGCTTGGGATTTTGTTTACATGACTGAAGGAGACAAGTATTAAGAGTACAATGGTCTCCTTTTGTAATATCTTGCTTATATATTTTTAATCAAAACTACATTACAAATCCCTTAAGGGCGAGAACCCTATCTTTAGATCGGTGTCTACAGCAGCACGTAGCAGTGCTATGTGCATCCGTAGAGCTGAGGGAACCGTTCACTGATGAAGTCATCACTAGTGGCTTGTACAGCTCCCACCCCTTATCGCTTACCAACGCTGACGGGGAGGGGGGAGGGCACACTCCTAAGTCAGCCTATATGCCTCTGGAACAGCCCACATTGTCAAACAACGCTGAAGTGCAATGAATATCAAAAGAAAATGATTGGTTTATTAAAGTTGAATTATACAAAACTGCCATCATATTTTCCTCATGAATATACCCATGAATATGCCAAGAAATGTTTTTAAAACCTATTTTCATCTTCTTTTAAATGTGGTGCAAATTCAAAACCCACAGCCACCCTCCCTCCCCACGGCTGGGAGCCGGAGTGCGGGCAGCTCCGCAGCCTGAAGCAGCTATTATTAGCAGAGGGCGTGATGCTATTTTTTGACGTTTTATTAATAATATATTGTGTTTACACAGCAGCTTTCTCCCCAGGCACCCAAGTTCCACACGTCACTTGTTAATGCTCCAGAGGCCCCTCCCCAGGTGGGGTTTTTGTTTTTCTGCTGTTTCATAGGCTGGGGGGAGGGGGGTATGTTTCCACACAAGTAATCAAGTGGGGAGTCAAGGACTAGCAAGCTGTCCAAGGTCACCCAAGGAGTATGATGCCCACAGAGGGAGAAACTGGGTCTCCTGACTCCCTCCCAGTGGCCATCCCGGTTCACCACTGGCCAATGGGAGGCCATGGGCGTGTATGTCACATCCTCACACCCCCAGCGACCTGGACTGCTCAGTCTCCAGGCTGCAGCAGAGACCTGGGTCAGGAGCAAACACTGCTGCTTCCTGGCTCAGGGGGTTGGAGGTTGGGGGTTGGGGGAGCGGCGAGGTGACACTCCATCAGCACACCTGGCCTTCACCTGGAGGAGCCCGTCAGCGGAATGAACGCAGCCTCCTTCTCCCTCCTGCCCAAACCCCAGCGGAGGAAAACTGAAGTCAGAACGAGGTAAATAAACTACTGTAATTCAACAGAATCCCCCAGTCAACCCAGACTGAAGCTGAATTTAAATTTCCACAGGACCAATGGCCGCCAAAGTGTAGGCCCCCGGTCAGCCGCATCAGCGTCACCTGGGAACTCATTAGAAGAGCAAATTCTGGAATCTATGCCAAACTCCAGCAGTGACCCAGTGACCCGTGCTTTACTGTGTTTTACTAAGCCCTTCAGGTGATCCTGATGGACACTCAAGTCTGAGTCTGTATAGTGTTGCCACTGACACATTTAATGGCTGAACGACTAGTAAAGTCCACAGAAGTGGTTAAAGCCATTGGCACCTCTGCAAAGACTGTGAATTGCTAATAGTGTGCAGCATGACAAACCTCCGGATAACCCTGCAAGTAAGCATTAATTTTTGCCTCTGAAATTATAAGGGAAAAATCTACTGACAGTTACTCTCTCCAAAATGACATAGGTTGAAAGTTTGGGCTTAAAGGCCTGTGGTTCACATCAGTAAAGCCTGAGTCTTATACCAAATCTGACTTATTTCCCAAAGAGAAGCTGCTTCTAATCAGCCCCTAAATCACACAAGATCTAAAACACAGTAGCCTGGCAATTAACCAATATGTTCTACAGCCTAAAGTGTAAATGTTTTATTTATCGTCTTTCACCCTAGTCTGCAAAGCACTTGTAACGCAGACACCGTCAAGTGTAACATAACGAAAAATAAAAGCCAAATGGTGAGTATACACAGATGCACAATTTCTAAGGCTGTTTTATCCTAGTTAGGTCCTGCTTCACTCCATGTATTCTGCCATCCTATCTAATAATAGACAAACACGGTAATTGACTGTACCTTCACTATGCCTCCCATTGGCTAATTAGTGTGATATGCAAATTAACCCCCAACAAAGATGGTGGCTAATTTGCATACTGCAGGCAGGGTGGGACAGCGCCATCCTGCCTGCCCTGCCGCCATCCAGGCCTGCTATCTGCAACCCAGGGAGGTGGGCATCCTGTGTGTGACCTGACCCAGGGTGGCCAGGCGGTGCAGCAGCAATCAGCTGGCCCACCTGGCCACCATCCGGGCATCCCATGTGCAACCCGACCCAGGGCGGCCGGGCGGGGCAGCAAAGGCTTGAAGGTGGCTCCGGCCGGAGTGAAGGCCTGGGTCCCGGGTGCCGGAGGAAAACCAGTGCCGGCAGCCAAGGGCAGGGAAAGCCTATTGGACAAATCTTTTCATGCAACAGGATTCTAGTCCTATAAAATAGCCGGCAGCCAAGGGCAGGGAAAGCCTATTGGACGAATCTTTTCGTGCAACAGGATTCTAGTCCTATATAATAATGCTATATAATAAAAGGCTAATATGCAAATCAACCAAACTGAGGAACAACCAGTTGCTATGACATGCACTGACCACCAGGGGCCAAACGCTCAATGCAGGAGCTGCCCCCTGGTGCTCCCAGAGAGGGAGCACTGCTCAACCAGAAGCTGGGCTCACAGCTGGTGAGCACAGCTG